GGTTTTTACTCTAGTTATAATCACCATTCCTGTGAGCCGGAGGAGGGATAGGAACCCTCACATATAAGCCCACTCCTGACAGCCATGGTGGTGGCTTACCTCAGTCTAAGAGCTGCACCCTGGGAGAAGCTTAGAACACACAATCTCTCTCGCTCTTTGGCCAGTCAGGCCCCTCAAGACTCTAAGCCAGGTTTCTCACAGATTGTCATTCAGGACAGAAGGACATGGCACCAGCCCACGAAGACCAAGGAGGGCTCTGATTATGGCCCTGGCTCTGTCAGGCTTTGCTGTACACACATATGCACAGTCTACTTAAGGTGTGATACATCTCTTGAAATTACCTGCCTGTGCTTTGCTGGTCCCTGGCTCCTGTGGAGATGGAGTGTCACCTTGTCCCACTGTCTGCCACATTGCCCTGTTACAGGTCCTGGGGTATAGTCGGGCCTGAAAGGCCTGGCACAGAAACAGGGTCCTGGGGAAGGGGACTTGGTTCAGGGAATGGGAGTGTTACCTATAATTGGCCTGTGTCTCCATAGAGGGAGAAGAGGTGTCAGGAGTGACAGAGGGCACCAGCTTTCCACCCCAAGAACCACGGCAGAGTCACCAGATGAAAATGGCTGCCGCAGGTCCCCTGGCTGAGCAGCCCTGCTGGCCAGTGGAGGCTGTTTGCCAGCCAGGAGCTGAGCCCACCTGCAGCCAAGGTAAGGCAGCTAGAGGCAACTCGGCACCAGCTCGCGCACACTAAGCTGTGCAGATGGCAGCTGTAGGTGGACTGGCTGGCAGACTGAGGGCAGACAGGGAGTACAGAGCACTCGGGGCATGAGGACGAGCCTGCCTGCAGTCTGGCCTGGAACACCAGCAGGACCCAAAGCCTCATTTCACCCCAGCTCCACAGAAGGGTTCTGCTGGGATGGAGCCTTTCTTAAGCCTGTGGTACTACAGAGCCCAGAGGGGCAGTACTGTGTGGGGAGGAGTTTGTGCCCTGTCACTGAGGTGTCCCTGTGGGCACTGAGACAGCACAGACATACCCTCCCTTATTCCTACCAGCCACTCTACAGTTAGGCTCCCCCGAGACCTCTTGGCCAGGTCTCCCACAGACCACTCAAGAGGGAAGGACATGGCGCCAGCCCACAAAGACCAGGCAGGGCTCTGGATAAGCTCCCACTCCTTTTAAAGAGATGAGGCTAAAAGAATGTGGAGCTATGCCAGGACAGCTGGCTGCTCCCAGTTCATGCAGCTCCCAGGAGGCTGCCAGGTTCCAGATCTGCAGTCTGCCATGGCCCTGACTGCCTCCAGGAGACACAGCTCCTTACTCATCCCCAGTGAAGGAAAAGGGTGTACTAGAGCCAGCCTGTAACCCCTACTTGAAATGGAATAGTTCAGAAGATACAAGTTTTGTGTTGTTTTAGTGCTGGGGACCCTTCGGAATCCTGAGAAATCTCAGAAGAGCCACTAGAGTCCACTGATACTCCTGCGAGCACAGGTCGCCCCTAGCTGCAAGGATGAGCCTAGTATTCCAAGGTCTGCAACAGAGGTGAACCTGAGACCCTGACAATCAACATAGGCAGGCCAGAAAGGCATCCATGGTGTGGGCCCTTTTGGCTTCCTGTAGAAGGAACAGTTGTTAGCAGAGAAGGCACAGGCAGACGAAGGAGGCTAAGGGACTCAATCTCTGAGATCTCTCAACAGCCACCAGCACTAAGGTCCCCGGCAGTGGAAGTACCCAGACACCCGAGAGCCATCAAGGCAGAATGGAGTCGAGCAGGGCCAAATCCCGCCTCCTGCCCAACATGCCAAAGCTGGTGATCCCCTCGGCCACCACCAAGTTCCCTCCTGAGATCACCGTCACGCCACCAACCCCTACCCTGCTTTCCCCGAAGGGCAGCATCTCGGAGGAGACCAAGCAGAAGCTGAAGGTGACCATGGGCACCAGGCAAGGGGCCTGGTGTAGGGGCTCAGGATGGGGGTCTGGAAAGGGGATTGGTGTACTGGGAGACTTGGAAGGGCCTAGGTTAGCACGGGCCCTGGGTGAGAGTTTGGGTTGATGTCAAGAGGTTCAGAGTAGGGCCAATCACTCCTGACCATGTCCCGCTCTGTATGCAGTCAGCCATTCTGTCTGCCCAATCCGCTGCCAATGTGAGGAAGGAGAGCCTGTGCCAGCCAGCCCTGGAGGTTCTGGAGACATCCAGCCAGGAGTCCTCACTGGAGAGTGAGACAGACGAGGATGACGACTTTATGGACGTCTGAAGGAGTCCACCCAGAGGCCTGCAGCCACAGCAGGGCAGCAGCAAGGCCTGGGATCCCTTTGTCCAGACCCTGGGCAAGGCCAGAAGCCAATGTGAGGTATCGTTTCCTGAGGTCTGCTAAGCCTGCCCAGCCCCCTCCTTACAGCATCCTGCCCTGGTTCAGGCTGTCCACACACAGTGTGTGGTCCAGAGGAAGAGAAGGCTTGTCTTAGGCACATACACTGGTTGTGGTCTGCACAGCAGGGATGGCACTTCTTTTTTAATGAAATACTGACTTTCTTAACAAGCCCATACCCGGCTGACCAGGCCCACAGTTCAGTGCCAAGGCAGGCCAGCTTGCATTCTGGTAGAGACGGCATCAGGAGCCTAGCTCACCCTACACCCTTTTTTGTCATTGTTGCTTCTTTTTCTAATAAAGGTGGAAAATGGTCTCTGCCTCTTTGTTTATCCTGGGGGATATTCACTGCTGCAGGGATATGCTTCCTGCCCTCAGGGGATCACTATTCAGAATCCCCTGGACTCCACTGGGGAAGGATGGACCTATGTCTGAGAAGACATTGGGTTTCCTAGAGCTCCTGTACTGTAAGTGGGAAGTCACAGAGAAGGCAGAGCCTAGGTGAGGCCAAGGAATTAGCCGAAGGGCACCATGGGAAAGAGCAGCCCAGGAGGGAGGCTTGCTTCATCATAGTTCCTGACAGGACCAGCTACACAAGTGTGGTGCCCAGGACAGAACACGTGGGCTGCTGGTTTAAAAGTAAGATTTGGAGCTGGAAGGTGACTCGGTCCTTAAGAGTACTCGATGCTCTGCCAGAGGACCTGAATTCAATCCCCAGTGCACTTGCGTGCACACGTGCACACACATGCATGCACACGCACGCACACACTGCAGTCCACATCCAGCTCTTAACTCCAGTTCCAGGAGAGCAAGTACTTCCTCCAGGAGAGCCAGTGCTTCCTCCTGGAGAGCCAGTGCTTCCTCCTGGAGAGCCAGTGCTTCCTCCTGGCTTTTGCAGGGTCTGCACACATGTGGTATACAGTCAGACATGCATCAAAACAGAAACGTAAGACTTGAGGAGAAACCAAATTGAAACCCTAGGAGAAGATCTTGCTGTATAGATTGACTGGCCAGGTAGGCCCTGCTCGGCATCCTGGGTGAGGTGACAGGCATGTGCCACACACTTGACTAACAATCAGAACAGTAAGTCATGACCCTGGCCCTTCCTGGGCTCCACACCATTTATCTCAGAGACACTTAAGTTCCAGAGCCCCATACCTGCCTGCCATGACTGTCACCCACAGCACTTCAGAGCCCCCACTTGTCCCTCTTGCAAACTCTAGACCAGAATGGAGACAAGTCTCAAGTCCATTCCCCTTTGTGCCTTCATGGACTAGGCACATGCCCTCAATGGAGAAGAAAGAATCCATTGACTACACCTAATCCAGGGCCATGGATTAGAAGCGTGGAAACCCAGGATGAGTCCTCGCCAGGCCAGTCATCTGGACAGCCAAGACACTGGGGACAGCAGTCACCTCTGCTTATCCATTCCTCTCATGGTAGGGAGTAGTCCCCTCAATCCTGGGCCTGGGATGTTAGCATCGACTGCTCCTACCACGGGACCTCAGTGTGCACACAGAAGCACCCATCCAGAGCCCCTGTGGCTTAGTAGGCTTTCTTTCCTCTGGAAGGAGGTGACATCTCACCAAATATGCCTATGGAATTGCAGGTATAATAGGGACAGGATTACCTTAAGAGTAGCCTGTTTCCACTTCTTACACCTCAGGTTTCCTTCGACATTCATGGGAGACACAGTGACCTCCAGCCTCAACTAGTTCTGGGTAGTCATACTAAGCTAGAGGGGACTAGGTCCCATAAGAACAATGGGCTGGCTGGGACCCAGGACCAGAAGAATATCACAGATCAGATGGCTTCGGTTCACAAGCCAGCCTCCCAAGCTGCTCCTCCCCTGGCTAGCCAACGTTTCTGCAATGAAAAACTACAGCTTCCCTGTCCTGAAGTCTAGCCCAAGTGGCAAGCCCTGAGTAGGAGTCCCAGGTTTGGGGGCCTTCATGAGCCACCCTAGTATCAAGGTCTCCCCCACCAGGCTCCTCCTGTGCAGAAACTTGGAGAGGGAACCCTCCACAGGATTTGTTAGCTCCCCAACTGACAACGCTGGAGCTAGGCTGGCCTCAGCTCTGGGTTCCTTCATCTAGGTAGTGACTCTGAAGAAATGACCCAGTCTCAAGTCCATGCCGTGTGCTTGCTTGCACTCTAAACAGATTAACTCTTGCTCCGCCTCCGCCTGTCAGGCTGAGTGTGTATTAGCAACACCTCCCTAGGGGAAGCAGAGGTCTAGGTCTGTCCTGAGGGGATCAGGGCTGCGTCACCCACCCAGCAGAAACCTCGTACACAAGACTGGACTGTGACCCCAGGGTCTGAGCTGTCTCACCATCTGGCCTGTCACGTGCCAAAGGTCTTAGCATCTGGACGCTCCGGCCCCTCATTCTCACACAGGGTCCCAAGGCTGTGATGATGGGGCAAGAATGTGCTAACTAGGCACATCAGGCCCTGATGGGCTCTATGGGCACCTGTGGACTTTGAGAGGGGACGAGAGGGGAGGGGGAGGGGAAGGGGAGGAGTGGTGCCGCAGAACGCTGGGCGGGGCCAGTAGGCGGGGCCTGCCCGGCCCGGAGAGAGCCTGTCCTGAAATCTCTGAGCCACTGCGCTGCCTGCTGATTGCAGACACAGGGCACACCATGAAGCTGGTCCTCCTGCCTTGGATTTTGATGCTGCTCTCGACAATCCCAGGCCCCCGGCTCACAGCAGGTATGCCCCACTTTGCCCTTCTGACCCCTCCCTGTTCATCTGCCTGATCAGCCAGGCCCTCTGGGCTCAGCGTCTGTCCATCTGGTAGTCCATCTGTGACTGCACTGGGGAGTACTGGGAAGAAATTGGGAGGCTCCTGGATCTAGACACTTGTGGTGGAGATGAGAGGCCTGAACCAAGCCCATCCTGCACTCACATAATAGCCAGGGAGGGAATCTAGGAAGACCAAAGAGCCTATACCCCAAGCCTCCGTGAAGGGTGCAATCACACAGGGAACCCCCGCCTCTTGTCTGTCGCTGTGCTGGTCTTTAACAGCTCAACCAAGAAAGTCTAGCAAGAAGGATGAGCTTAGAGTCACGGCCTGTCCCTGAGCTGAGCTAGGAGTTAACCAGCCTACAATCTCCTGCTTCGCCCTATCATCCCTTGCGGGGAAAGTGCCACCACCCTTCTGGTACTTTATCTCATGGCATCTTGAAGCATCTTCCCACAACCCCTTGCAGTCATTAAACCTTAGCCAATAAATATTTATGGCTGCTCAGGGGTACAAGCTTAGTGAAGCAGCCCAGTGGCTTAGACCGCAGCCTGGGTCCTGGTGGATCTCCATCAAGGATCTAGGGAAGGTGTGGTATGGCCTGGGAACTTGTACCCCATCCCAGTCTCGACCTTTCAGCTCTGGGCCTGAAATACAACCCTGCCACAGATCTCCACAGCCCACAGAGGAAGTGGGCTGATGGGTTGGGCCTAGACAGGATGTCCACAGCTCCTATGGGGTACTCCCGACTACACTGCGCTGGAACCCTCACTGGAATGCCCCTCCTGTCCCCTAAAAAGGGAGTATCCTGTCTGCCTTCTCAGAGGGTGGGGCTCTCTGGGATTCAACTGTGTCTCACCCCCAGAAAGAGATGGGAAAAGCTCAACCCAGATACCATTCCCTCCTGGGCCTTCCATAGGACTCTTGGTGACTATGTGTCGTAGCCTCAGAAAGCAAGAGGACCCTTTTTTCTTTTAGCTGTGAGAACCCATGTAGCCATTCAGTTACCTGTGCTAAAATGGAGCCCAGCCCACGGAACAAGTGACTTTCCACTGTGCCATTTGGTAGCCAGAGCCATTCCTGGTCAGCCTCATGGACGATTCTTACAGACTCCAGAGGAAACAGGCCCTGTTTGTAGGGTAGCTGACCCCAGTACACGGGACTTTCTTCTCTAGGTGCCCAGGAGAGCTGTTCCCTGCGCTGTGGGGCACAGGATGGACTCTGTTCCTGTCACCCAACCTGCTCTGGCCTTGGCACCTGCTGTGAAGACTTTCTGATCTACTGCCTAGAGATATCACCCTCCTCAGGCTCCATGATGGGTGGCAAAGACTTCGTGGTGCAACATTTAAAGTGGACTACCCCTACTGAGGGTGTCATCTGCAGGTGGGGGTCGGGGGGTGGAGACCTAAGCAGCTGGGTCATTGGGGCTTCTACATATTTAATCTCATGCATAGAGTGAGGGCTGGAGGTTGCGCCCTGAGACCAAGGGCAAGCAGGCAGAACATGGGCACACCTAGCCTAACCCGTTTCCTGAGGAACAGTGTAGGTCTCCATAGCTTTTGGCTCAGGCTGCCTCCACCATCTGTCTCTCAGGTTTAAGGAGAGCATCCAAACCCTTGGCTATGTCGACAGCTTGAAGCAAGTGCACTGTATATCGCCCTTGCTCTACGAAAGCGGCCACATTCCCTTCACCGTCTCTATGGACAATGGCCGTTCCTTCCCTCACGCAGGCACTTGGCTAGCTGGTGAGCCCTCACTCTGTCAAGCCAGTCTAGGCTGTTATGTCCGTAGACTCCACCCTCCCTGGGCCCTGGTTCCTATCTGCAACTCAAGGCCACGGGACTTTCCCTAACACTAATCCGTGTGTGCTGATACTAGACCCAGTCTGCCTACCTGTCCCTCTGGCTGAACCAGTCCATTGGGCAAGGGTTGCTGTCAATTTATTACTCCACCCCTGGCATCTAGACCAGAGGCCCAGCCCACAAAGAGTTGGAGCCATGGGGGTCCTCGTCAGGTTGATTCAGATCCAGCCCCCTGCCTCAGCAAGGGTCTGGGGAAGGACCAGATAAAAGGTGTGATCTAGCCTGGATCCTCAGTTCTGAAGGCCAGGCCTTCATCTCTCCCGGCTATGGTATCTTCCTGCCAAGGGACCCTGAGGGAGACCATCACCTAACTGCTGTCTGTCTCTTGGAGGTTCTCAGAACCCTCCAGGTCTCTTGTGCACCATTAAGTCTTCACTCGTTCCTAACGGGCTCCCCCCTCTCCAGCACATCCCTACAAAGTGTCTGAGTCTGAGAAGAGCCAGCTGGTGAATGAGACCCATTGGCAATATTATGGCACGTCAGACACCAGGGGAAACCTCAGCCTCACCTGGAACACCTCAGCGCTACCCATGCCGGCCGTCACCATTGAGCTGTGGGGCTATGAGGAGACAGGTGGGGCCTGCCAAGGGGTTGGTGGAGGTGCTTGGAACTTTCGGATACTCGGATGTGAGCAAAGGAGTCTCGGGTGGGGATGGAGGAAGGGGTATGCAAAGGAAGAAGGGATTTAAGGCTGGTGGTATAGATCAAGGAGGGGTTTGCAGCTACGCACAAACAGCCATAACTTCTGGCATGCGTGGTGGGCCCCAGAGACAGTGGGAGTGTTGGACACTGTGACCTTTGAGTAGATGGTATATAGTGAAGGCAGAAGCAGCCACCTCAACCCCACCTCCTCTGAGCCTGACACGGACCAGGGCCAGTGATTCAAGCATGTCCCCACTGGTCACACAAGCCAGGGACCCTGCTGAAACATCAAAACGTGACAGCCCACAGGGAGTGGGGGGGGGGAGGTATCTATTGCTTTCTTTCCATCATTCAGGTTATCAGTGCCAGTGGCTGAGGGAAGGAAGGGGTCCTTGGAGGACTGACCAAGGTTTTCTCTTCCTTTAGGGAAACCCTACTCTGAGAACTGGACGGCAAAGTGGTCCTATCTGTACCCTTTGGCTACCAACATCCCCAATACTGGCTTCTTTACTTTTACTCCCAAACCCGCATCACCTCAGTACCAGAGGTGGAAAGTAGGTGCTCTGAGGATCAGCAGCAGCCAGAACTATCCAGGACAACAGTAAGGGCCTCAGTAGATGATACACTGGGATCATCTGCATGCAGACTGCCCATGGGTAAGGGCCGGGTGCTTAGCACCCCATTAGCTGATACACCATCTCTACTGCAGGGATGTGCTGGCACTCTGGACCAATGATCACGCACTGGCTTGGCACCTGGGTGATGACTTCCGGGCAGACTCTGTAGCCTGGGCCCGTGCGCAATGCCTAGCCTGGGAGGCATCAGAAGACCAGCTACCCAACTTTCTGACGGAACTGCCAGACTGCCCCTGCACACTGGCCCAGGCCAGGGCTGATTCTGGACGCTTCTTCGTAAGCCCCTGAACCCATTCAGGCCCCCAGAGAGCGGGAGGAGGACAGGAAGGGCCAGCCTCCCTGACTGAGTTAGACAGAGGCCACCAGGAGGTAGGGTAGGTTCGAAAGATCTCCTTGGGGTCGGTTCTCGGGGAAGGAGGGAGGGAATACAGAGCCCAGGTGACAGGCCCTGGATATTCTGCAGACTGACTATGGTTGTGACATTGAACATGGCAGCGTATGCACCTACCACCCAGGGGCTGTGCACTGTGTACGCTCTGTGCAAGCCAGGTGAGCTACCGGACCAGGGGTAAGGGATGGGCAGGGCTTAGGGGAAGCTGCCGACAGTGGCTCTGACCTGCTCTTACCCTAGCCCCAGGTATGGCTCAGGCCAGCAGTGCTGCTACACAGCAGCAGGCACGCAGCTGCTGACCTCAGACTCGACAAGTGGCAGCACCCCTGATCGCGGCCATGACTGGGGCGCGCCCCCGTACCGCACTCCTCCCCGCGTGCCCGGCATGTCTCATTGGCTCTATGATGTCATCAGCTTCTATTACTGCTGTCTTTGGGCTCCTGAGTGTTCCCGATATATGAAGCGGCGGCCGTCCAGTGACTGCCGCAGCTACAGCCCCCCACGCCTGGGTAGGTGCTAGTCTGGGTACTTGACCACAGAGGGAGGGTCATGCCTGGGTGGGAAAGGCTAAAGAATTCTACCTGGTTCTCGGCTTTCGCTTCAGCCTCTGCCTTCGGGGACCCCCATTTTGTCACCTTCGATGGCACCAGCTTCTCGTTCAGTGGAAATGGAGAGTATGTTCTGCTGGAGACTTCACTGAGCGATCTGACAGTGCAGGGACGGGCCCAGCCTGGGAAAATGCCCAATGGTGAGGCAGGGCCCCGTAATCTTTACACTGTGGGTGGCACTGCTGGGTCATCCAGGGTAGTAGACAAGAGTCCAAAGAACCCCATTCTGAACCCACCACCTAGGCACCCAGGCCCGTGGTACAGGGCTGACTGCAGTGGCTGTCCAAGAAGATAACTCGGATGTGATAGAGGTGCGGTTAGACAGCAGGTCCCAGGCCTTGGAAGTATTGCTGAATCACAAAATGCTAAGCTTCACTGAACAAAATTGGATGGACCTGAAGGGTAAGTGACACGGCCGAGTATGACTAGCAGGTTACCCGTGGCTTTCACGCTGTCCCTGGTCCTGGCCATAGGCTGTGGTAGACTCTGGCTTGAATACAAAGGCAAAGGTTCTTGGGTCTTGCAGAAGGCAAGACCCACATGGCCAGGTCGGGGAATCTGCACCCTGTTTGTGACTGTTTTAAGCCGAGGAGGGCAGTTGCTCTGCCTGAGGTCTGTTCTCATACCTTCATATCCATGGAAGTGCCTGTTGTAACCACAGGGCCTACACAGAGTCCTGAAAGACCAAGGGCTAGCAGCTAGTCCTCCGCGTAGCCCACAGAAGCACACAGTGCTAAAGACCACAGTGATGGCAAGTGGCAGCCGGGAGTCACATTTTAGCTTCCAACTCTGGGCTGTGTTGCTCTAGAGCTGGCCAATGAAATGGCTCCTGGTGGGGGATGGGTAGAAGTATCTTATTCAAAGACCTTCAGCCGGGGCGGTGGTGGTGGCACATGCCTTTAATCCCAGCACTTGGGAGGCAGAGACAGTCGGATTTCTGAGTTTGAGACCAGCCTGGTCTACAGAGTGAGGTCCAGGACAGCCAGGGCTATACAGAGAAACCCTGTCTCGAAAAACCAAAAAAAAAAAAACAAAAAAAAAACCCAAAAAACAAAAGAAACAAACAAACAAAAAAGACCTTCAGGAGGGGTAACAGCAGGCCTGGCTGCTGTAGCCTCATCAGGAATTGACTCCAACATGTAGCCTCAGCATGGAAGAGACAGAATCCCTGCAGGGAAATAGCCGTGAGACCATTGGGGGGCCAATGGGAGTCTGGGTGCATGTAGACATGAGTTGGGCGTGCTAGCATGTCACAGTGAGCAGAAAGGTACATCCTCCTAGTTCCTCACACGTATCATCTACCCTACCTCAGGGCTGTATCAAGGGTTGTGGGGGCAGAACACAGGGCCCAAGAGAGTAACCCTAAGCCGTCTCTACTTGTGGTCAGGCATGTTCCTGTCTGTGGCCTCTCAGGATAAGGCGTCAATCATGCTGTCATCGGGAGCTGGCCTCGAGGTCAGTGTACAAGGTCCTTTTCTGAGTGTGAACATCCTGCTGCCTGAGAAGTTTCTGACCCATACCCGTGGTCTCCTGGGGACACTCAACGATAACCCCAAGGATGACTTCACCCTGCGCAATGGACAGGTCCTGCCCCTGAATGCCAGTGCTCGGCAGGTGTTCCAGTTTGGAGCCGACTGTGAGTGACTGTGAGGGAGGGTGAAAAGGGATTGGCCAGGGTGACAGTGGGTTAAGGAGAGGAACTTATCTGTGGCAGGGAACTGTGACCACACAAGACTGATACCTGTCTCCTCAGGGGCTGTCTCCAACACCTCTTCCCTGTTTACCTATGACTCTTGGCTTCTGGTCAACCAATTTATGAACCAACAACCCAAGCACGACCCCAACTTCACACCGCTCTTCCTTGATGAGATCACACTCAGCCCCAGCCAGGTGGAAGACATGACCAGACTGTGTGAGAATGACCGTTTCTGTGTCCTTGACGTGATAAGCACAGGGGACCCGAGCGTGGGCAATGCTACCCGGATAGCTCACCAACTGCACCAGCATCGTCTGAAGAGCCTGCAGCCTGGTAGGGGGTGGGAAGGGGCTCAAAGGGTGGACCTCTCAGATCACCTAGCCTCGTTCAGGGGCCTACAGTTCAGGCCTGTCCTCTATGCTCTGCCTAACCCAGTGGTATCCTGTGGCTGGCTACCCCCACCTGTGAATGGGCACAAGGAAGGCTTGAGGTACCTGGAAGGATCTGTTGTCCGATTTGGCTGCAACAATGGCTTCAGCTTGGCAGGGCCAGAGAGTAGCACCTGCCAGGCGGATGGGACATGGTCTACGCCTACCCCAGAGTGTCAGCCAGGTGAGCCGCCCCTCCCATCTTGCCTCTGCACACCTGTGTCTTTTTGGCCTTTGTCACCGCTTTTATCTCTGGCAGGGCGGAGCTACACGGTGCTCCTGAGTATCATCTTCGGAGGCCTGGCCATAGTGGCACTGATCTCAATCATCTATATGTTGTTCCATCGCCGCAGGAAGAGCGACATGTAAGATCCTACCTGTGTGAGGACGTCGCTCAAGACGGCCCCACCTCCAACCCCTGCCCCTCTTTAGCTTTCTTAGGACCTAGAAGCAGTCGGCGGGACTCCTGTGCCATTTTAAACCTATCTGTTGTAGGAACATGTGGAGCTCGCAGCCCTGAGACCAGAGCGCCCTTGACTGTGTGCTCGCCAAGACCCAGCCTTCCCCGGGGAGAAGCGCAAAGAACGTGTACCCTAGTCCTTTGAATGTCACATCTAGTATCTGTGCCTTTAACACTATGGACCTGTGCCTAGCCTGTCCTTCTGACTGAGACATGATACCGGATAGTCTTAACTCCTGAACCCCGCTCCCAACACTCCTCCGTCAGTAACCTGCACTTCATCGTCTATTATAGCTCTAATTTCCCCGTCTTGAAGGATGGCCTTCTTGTCCCATCCAAGAACTGGAGTACCTATGTCCCAAGCCCAGAAGTTCCTGCGTTGGAAGCTTACATTTCAGTCCCTCACATCCCAAAGCCTGATAAACTGAGACCTGGTGCCTGCCCTCCCGTGAGGGCCCCCGGAGCTAAGCTGCCTCCATTCCTGCCCCATGGCCCAACTTGAGAGCTCAGGTTGGCCCAGTCCCAGTGAAGAGTGGCCTCAGAGCCAGAGCGGGGAGAAAGAGAACTGTTCAGCAGAGAAGAGACATCTTTTGTACACCAGGCTTCTGCACTAACCTCTTCTCTAGTGTACTAAAAACAAGTTCATGTTACATCTTTCCTGGTTCCTGTCTGCTCATGTTTCCCCCACTGCTCCATAATTGCCTGGGAGGTCACCTGCTAATAGCATCCGAGTCTGAGCCCCGCCTACTTCCTCTACTCCTGATTCCCACGGCATAGTCTCTCCCGAGCCTTCCCACGGAGCAGGTGGGATTAGGAAGAATGGTGGGACCCAATGGGAAGGCCGATGCCTGCAAAAGGCTCAACAGGGCCGTCACATGTTGGTAGGTCACGAGATGAAAGAAACAGGTGCCCTCTGGCTAGTCCTATCTCCTCCCCAGACCCGGTGACGCTGTTTCAATTGTTTATGAGCTGCTGGGCTGCACACAGGATCCCACTCTGGTGTTTCCTGAGAAAAAAGATACCTTGCACAACCCTGCCCAGATGCTTACTCTAAGGCCATGTCTAACTTCTCAGATAGGCACAGAATTAAGCCTCGTTTATTTGACCTAGACCGACTCTCTTGGAAGCACAGATCAGTAGTCAGCAGAAAGACTGGCGGGGCCCAAAGTACTCATTTGTGGAAAGTCCCCTGAATGAGGGCTGTGAATGGCCTAGGCAGAGTAGGGTAGGGTCAGAATTGTATCTTGTAAATCCAACAGAAAGTGCGATAGTGCTCCACCTACTGAATCCGGTAGGGAAGTTTCTGTGGGAACTTACTGTGTTCTGCAATTCCAGAAGCAGACACACGGGGGCAGAAGGGAGCAGGAACAGTGAATCCTGGTGGCAGCCGAAGCGCTAGATCCTAGACCCTTGGATAACCCTTGCTTGTTTGGTCACGCCCACGGCCAAGGTTTCTGCACACCCCATACCTCATATCCCCTAGACTCAGAAGTCTCAGAAAGGTTGTACGGGTTTGATCAGCTGAAGAGGAGTCCAGACTTCTCTTATTATCTTTACCTTTAGCCAGAAGTCCTAGCAAGAAATGGAAGCGCTGAGCGGCAGGGACAGGTCCCTCTGAGGGTTTCCAGAAAGAACTGCATGATGGGGCACATTATGTGTAAATGACTGGTAACTACGGGAACGTTAGAGGAGGGGACGGCCTCATAGGCTCTGACTTCCCAATCCCTTCCCCCCCCCCCAGTCTTATTTCTTCTTTCTCTTTAGGTTTGCAGCTCAGGATAGGGTAGGACTGAGGATTTCTGTCTTGGCTGTTCGTTTGGTACTTTCCTCTCCGATAAGGTAAAGCAGGGCTTGTCTGCCATTGCTTGAGTCCCCAGAGGGTCCCTGAGCCAAGTTAAACCATACCAGGTGCTTGGCAATGAATGGGAAGCTAGCCTCTTAGACAGGGTCTGGACACAGAGAGAACAGGGCAAGCAGCTGCAGGTCTGTCAGAATAGCCCAGTAAGTCTACACCAAGCTGAGTGTGGCAGCAGGCCTATAGTTTCAGCTACTCAGGAAGTTGAAATAGGAGGATTGGTTTAACCTGTAAGTTTGGGGCTAACCTATGACCTCACAGTGAGTCCCTTGTCTTTTTTTTTAAGATTTATTTATTTTATGTATATGAGTACACTGTGGCTGTCTTCAGACACATCAGAAGAGGGCATCAGATTACACTGTAGATAGTTGTGACACATCATGTGGTTGCTAGGAATTGAACTCAGAACCTTTAGAAGAGCAGTCAGTGCTCTAAACCACTGAGCTATCTCTCCAGCCCCATAAACATATATATATTATATTTTGGTTTTTCGAGACAGGGTTTCTCTGTGTAGTCCTGGCTGTCCTGGAACTCACTCAGTCCAGGCTGGCCTCAAACTCAGAAACCACCTGCCTCTGCCTCCCAAGTACTGGGATTAAAGGCGTGTGCCACCACTGCCCAGCAAGTCCCTTGTCTAAAAAAAAAAAAAAAAAAAAAAAAAGACAGGAACAGTTAAAGGAACAGCCTGAGACCTTGTAGGCCTTTCTGGGGAGCAGTGAGGATAGGGGGTGGGATGGGGGAGGAACTCAAGATGATTTTCTTGCCAGGCCTGCAGCATCCAGACTTCATCGTGAAGACATGGTCTTTTTTTGGCCTGCAGTTGTTCCCACTACAACCCAGGATGTACCCTAGACCTGTCCCTGCACCTCCCATCTAAAGAACGAAAAATGGGTGCTCTGGCTGAGAGCCTGGCCCCAAACAGGTGCTGTTTTTAATGCCAATGACAGACTGGCCTGGGAAACCCCGCTACCTGATAGGGATTTTCCTAGGAGTCCAAAGAAGCCAGGTACTGCTCCACCAGTATGAAGGTGGAAGGTACCAGAGCAAGCGAAGACCCTCAGAGACATCAAAGGGCCTTAGCCTTAGAGGGGTGTCTCTCTAATGGCAGGTTTAATGGTTCAGAAGGCAATGCTAGGAATTTGTGGAACCCTGGTTGGAGTGACAGAAAAACCGAACCCCAGTAGCCTGCCCTCCAGCTCTCGTTCAAGGGTTAAACAGTAATGCACAGGCTTGGAAACGGGTTGGGAAACCCAGGGGAGGAAATAGGAGCCAGCGAAACATTTGCAGGATCCCAGCATCAGCTCTAGACAGACAGAAAGGAGATATGCGCTCTTGGGATGATGGGGCCCCAGGAACCACCAGAAGCCAGATGGTGAGGTCATGTGGGTATACACAGCGAGAGTCACAGAAGTAACAGTGTCGCAGCAGACTCTGGCCACTGGAGCAGAGTACCTGTTTTTCTTCTCTCTCTCAATCAGACCTGGGAACATGACAAACCAGGGCCTCTCACTGGCTAAGTTCAGTCGGGAGCAAACAGAGCAAGAGAGTGTGGGATCCTTCCTCAGCCATCAAAATGGTTCCCCCCTTGAAAAGCTCCGTCAATGGCCAAGAGTCAGCGGGTGGGGAGTGACAGGCTTCTACTGGACTCGCTCGAGAGGCGCTGTCGTCATGTTCAGTGCCATGAGGGCAAAAGGATGGCTCAAGTGGCATACGTCGCACTGGGGAGCAACAGGAGGTGCCTGACTCCTAAGTTTTTGAGAGTGAGCATCAGGTAGACAAGGGAGGCTAAGCAGATGCCTGCTCCTGTCTCAGCAGCCCACACTCACAGACCCATGTTCTGGACTACATTTCCCAGGCTCCCTTGCAGTTGGGTTGGTCACTTCCGGTCCAAGTCCATACACTCCATAGGCACCCCTCTATGTTCTTTCTCCTGCTCTTGTCACCCCAAGGATAACTTTGGAAACCTTGCCAATCTGTGTCCCAACCAGGTCCCATCATGGACCCCAGGCATCCTGTAGAATTCAAAAAAACAAGAAATAAACTCCGCTCGTGATCCACCCATAATGCGTTAGAGCAAGTATTTATTGCATCAGAGGATACCTCTAATGATAAATTAGAACGTGGTGGTCCCTGCCTCTAGTCGCCAAAATAAATATTTTGAGATGCTCGTACTATGTAGCTTCGGCTAGCCTAAAGCTTGCTATGGAAACCAGGCTGGCCTCGAACTCATAGAGATCCACTTGCCTCCGATTCCTGAGCACTGGGATTAAATTTGCTCACAGCTACACCAGGCTTTAAAAATGTATTAAACACCAGAAAGAGAGCCATGAAAACGTGGCCTTGCATTCTTCATTAGCTTTAAAACTCAGCGCCGAGGCTAAAGAACCCTCCAGTTGGGAAGTTTTTTACTGAACGCAGGGGCAGCTGCGGATCCTGGCTGAGGTCCCATCCTGATGCTTCACACACTGCAGCATCAAGTAATCAGGTCTGGCTTACTAGCAGAAGCAATCTACACAGGCTGGGTGATGAACCAGCACACAAACCACCCTCCTTAGAGCCAGACACAGGCGCTCATGGGCATGAACACACATGAACACACACATACACACACACCTCTGAAACCACCAACCCTATCATTGGACAAGAATATTTTGCTCTTTGCCAAATGAAAAAAAGAAAAGAAAAAAAAACCCAAACCAAACCAAACAAACAAAAAAATTCCCCTGCAACCTAGGCTGCCTGTTGTTTCCTCTGCTTTGATTAGGGTGAGCCCAAGAGACCTTCTTGCAAAAAGAAACTGTCATTTAGGACTCACCCTCCCTGCTGTCAATCTGTGAGATCAGTTTATTTGGGTTAGCACTCTGCCTGCAAGTGTCCCACATTCCCCTGCCTCAGCCTTCAGCTGTGTGTAGAAACCGAGGCCATGGTGTTTGAGGAAGAGTCCCGATGGAAACCGGCATCGCCCATGGCAACAAGAACAGATGCCAGATTCAGAGCATCCTTCTCAGATCCAGTCTGCAAGGGGCGTTCCAGCCAGCCCTGGAGTCCCTGCCCTATGTCACATTCTTTCCGTTCCCACTTCCTGCTGCACAGATCTCAAGCGCGAGCATGGGAACTGGGAACGGGAGACAGATTTAGAGACAGCTGGAGCGCTCGTCCCTAGGCTGCAGGACCTGCTTCTCCAGGAACTAAGTGTAGATGGAGTTCTGGGGTTCATACGCGCTCACTAAAACCACCAGTGGAACAGCTGCCTAGCATCCTAACATTCCCTCCTTCCTCCTGTTCTATCTTTCTCCTTCCTCTCTTCTTTCCTTTTGGTTCGTGTTTTAGAATCTCTGTACCCCAGTCTGGCCTTGAATTCACTAACCAAACTAGCTTCATACTCAATGATCCTTCTACCCCAGTCCACCAAAAGCTACGATTCTAGGCGTGCATCGCTGTCAATGTCTAAAAACAAAAGGGTGGATCCGTAGCAGGAGCAGCAGGGCTGCCTCTATGTAAACGCTGGGGGGAGCCGTGCAGCTGCAGAAGCATCTCCTGCAGGAGGACCTAATTGAGGACTGCCTGTGACACCAGCATTCCTGCAGGAGGACCTCATGGAGGACTGCCTGAGAGGAGCAAGAATTGCTAGTGCAAATAATGCCAGCCAATCAGAAACTGCTGTTTAGAAGAGCTGCTTTCTTGGGACCAATGGGGCGCGGGTGGAGGGTGTTAAAAGAAGCTTGCAGCAGAGTTCAGATGAGCAGAGTTTCAGATGTAGCCTTTCTCACCTGCTCCCGGAGTCTGTGTCATTGACTCTGT